GAGGGGTGTGCTTGCTTCACTTGTATCTTAAGTTGTGGACTGTCCAAGGCATCTACAAACTGATATCTCAGCAACAACTTGAGGAGATCGGGTGGTGCAGTTGGGTAGGCCTTGTGTGCCATGCTCTCCAAGTCCTGTGCCAGCTCTTGCAGGCTCTCCCCTTTAGCACGGACTCTCGTCCTGAACCTGGCCCTGTAGACTTCTGACTGGTTTTGGATTCCGTACCTGAGTTCCAGAGCCTCTACCAGTGTTCTATAGTTGTGTCTGTCGGCTGCTGTCAACTGTCCAAGTATTTCCAGTGGTTGTCCCTTCAAGCTCGTTGCCAGATATACAGCTTTCTGTTCCTCTGTCCATCCATTCATCTCTGCCAGTAGCTAGAATTGTGCTCTGTATGCTTCCCATGGTGCCTTCCCATCGAATTCCTGTGGCTTCCTTCGCATTGGATCACTCCTATTACTGACATTCATATCTGGGATGTGACTTCTAACGGGACTGAATATGTCTGCATTAGGGTTTAACTGCGGCTCTGTAAGGGGCTTGCCATTGTCTGGGGCTGATTAAGTCGATGGTCAATGTATCCTCCTTGTGTAACACACAACAAATCTTTCTTTAACGTATCTAATTCGCTTTTAAATTTACTGATGTTTTCCATTTGTACTTCTTGCCACTGTTGTTGATTCTCCTGTAGTTGCTGCTGACTTTCCTGCAACTGTTGGAGACTTTCTTCCTGTTTCCTTTCTTGTTCCAGTTGCCACTGCTGTAATTTTTCTTCTTGTTTGCAACAATGGCAGCTCGAACAGCAAAATAAGAAAGAAAATAAACAAGAAGAGAAATTACAGCAGTTGTTAGAGGAAAAAGAAAAGAAACAAGAAGAACGAGAAAAGAAACAAGAAGAAAGATTACAGCAGTGGCAAGAAAACCCATCCAACAACTGCTGTAATCTCTCTTCTTGTTTCTTTTCTCGTTCTTCTTGTTTCTTTTCTTTTTCCTCTAACAACTGCTGTAATCTCTCTTCTTGTTTAATTTCTCGTTCTTCTTGTTTCTTTTCTCGTTCATTTTTTCGTTCTTTTGGTTTCTTTTGCTGCTCTTGTATTGCAGCCATCAAGTCTGCTATGCTGTAGTTTGATTTGCCGCTTCTCGTGTCCAAGTGGGATAGAAAAAAACAATTAACAAACGGAGACGTAACAAATTGGTGTCAGATGCTCCAGCAAGCCTTTGACAATGATCTAGTACTCATCAAGCTTTCACTGAGAGCTGCATAATTGTAGTAACCTCATCATCAAGCTCCCACTGGGGCTCGCGTATTTGTGACATTTATGCCAACCATTTTAATACCAACAGACCCAAAGACAGGTTACCCAAAATGTCATTACTTGTCTATAAGAATCACTGCTTCCAAGGCTGTTGGAGTCCATAATCAATATTTTCTGATCAAAATTTTAAACTAATATTATTGTTTTCTTCTTTTTGTGGTAGATTAAATCTCCAATAAAAAATTGAACTCTGAAACAAAATTTATACAATATTCAATGTTTCTCAAATCTGGTAATTGAAGATGTGATATTAAATTCAATTTTAGAAAAAACAAGGGCAGAAGAGTAAGTATTTGTTTTCATGCTTTTACTTTAATCAAGTATACATACATTGAGAAAAGTACTCATTAGCATTTTAAAAGAAGAAGGCTCAGTTCAAACTTCAAGAATATAATATCTTCAAAAGAATCTTAGGAGTGAGTTACATATAACTGAACTGCTTACTGACTTACCTCAAAAGAAGTGGATAAACAAGTTTGAAATGCATTATTTATTGATCTATGTTAACGATAATTTGGCTTGCATTAATGTTCAGTATGTTTATCTAACAGTCGCACACTTAAATACTTACCAAATAAGGGTTCCTCTTCTCATAAAGATCATTAACTTGAAAAATATCCCAAGACTTGAGTCCATACTTTACACATCCTTTCAAAAACATCTCGATATTTTCCATCTGATAGAGCAAAAATATCCAGTAATTTTTCCATTTGTAAAACATAAAACATTTGCAAATGTATAATATTAATAGTTAAATATTAAAACAATAGAATTTAGAAAAATTGTACTGAATGGAAGCAGTTCCAAGGGTTATACACAAGTTAAAAATAAGGAATCAAATACATGCTGACTAAACATATTTTTTTAAGATCTGCACAATTATGTCTTTCTATAAAAGGAAATTTAAGCTCTATGCATGTCTAAAACGAAGTTTTGAATTTTATTTTGTTAAAATTGTCCATAAAGCCCAATTCAGTTTTCTTCAACATCACATACAATGTTTAATTTTTACACTTATGAGCTATTTTCTTTTACAGATGTAGATTAAAAAAATATTAAAGATTAATTTTCAGTTATAAATATTGGAACAAAGCCTCCCATCTAAGACTTTATTGTCTATAATTATCTCAGTTCTTTGTTCATGGGAAGATATAATAATCTTTTCTGGGACAAAATCAGCTGACATAAGATACACAAGTACCTGTTTCATATAATTATTTTTTTTTATATATATATTTGAATAAGTCCTTGATCATGTTCAACTTGTAGCATGTACAATGCTAGTGTGTCCATTTTAATTTTTTTCTCTGCATTTTTTACAAGAACTGGTAGATTAAAATGGCAATAAATTTCTTTATTTTTTGCAAAATTCAAACTATGTCATCATAATGAATTGGCAAGTTGCCAATCTTTGTTTTATCACTGGCATGTGGAGGTATGAAAAGACAGATATCAAAACAAACAGCAAAACTTGTCTGTCATACTTAATTGAGGCAGAATTAAAAATGATGTGGAAATTCAACCACTGAAATGTTTTGATTTTGACATATTCATGTGATAGAAAGGTCGACATTCTAAAAGGTGTACTGCATAAAAAGGTCAAACATCAATAAAAATGAAAAAAAAATTAGATAGGGAAAAATAGGTCTATAAAAAACAGCAAGCTGTAACTACAAAAAGAAAAGATTAAATATTAGAGTTAATATAATCATGTAACCTCTCAATATAAAAAAAAATTATGTACAGTAAAATTACTTCCTCTACAAATAGTTTGGGAATTTAACACTTTACTTGTTTTCAGCAGCCCCATGAGGATTTGTTGCTACAAAACATTAAACCTATTGAAACGAACAAAACATCATAAAAAATCATAGCAAGTGTAAATGAATTTTTTTTAATACTATCAATTCTTTAGTTCTTATAAAATATAGAACATTAATACATTAACTAGACATTATCAAACATTATCTCTAATATACATATGAATACACACCCACACACACTATACACAAGTACACTGTATATATTTTAACAACTTATTGACATTATAGTAATGCTACAGATTTTTAATATAAACCTAGATACCTTGAGTTATGCTGAAAGTATATTTATCTAATGCCTTTACACTAGAAGACAAGTCCACTTGTTGAAAGTTCTAGAATTTATTGGGTGTTCTAATTGTGATATACCAATCTTTTTAATTATGCATGTTTTTTTTTACTATAATAAACATATATATATCCATAGTTTACAATCCCTATGCTATAAAACAGTTCACAGCACATAAATATGATGTCAAAGTAAAGCATTTACAATACCTTTTTATATTATGTTATCAATATGGACAACACATGTTTTTCAATGTAGCATAATTGCAGTGAAAGATGAGACCATACAAAAAAAAAAATATTCTCAGTACTTTTTTACTTTGTCAGGTTACTAAGAAACTGTTTATCAAGGTCACCCAAGAATTTAATGCTCATTCATCACATTAACTTTAAAGAAGAATATTCTTCTTTGAAGGTAGCTTTGAGCAATCTGCAAAACTCCTTCCTCAAAAGAAGAATATTCTTGTCGCTAAGAGCAAAAAGAAGAATAAACATTTTTCACTAGCAGATTGTAAATGTAGCTGCACACAACTAAACCAATTAATTGACTTTACAGAGCTAAATCTTTTTCATTTTTTAAAAAGACAAACTACCTACAAATTCTATATACAATGCTGTGAACTATCCACTATATTTTTTCTATCAAATTTCATCAAAACCACACAGAGAAGTTCCTCAGTACTAATAATATAAAACAAATTAATGCAAAATTAAGGCATTATACAATTGACACAGAAGAAACCCTAACCAAGTTTTAAAAAATATTTGATTAATTAACATAAAGTAATTTCTTAAGATGTGAAGAAAGTTTATTCAAAGAATATTAACTAATCAGACAATCCTAGTTAAAATAAAAATATATGTAAAATGCTAAACATACTTACATCATTAACTTGTAATTGACATGTACAACTACTTAATTAACTATCTTAATTCTTTGAATCCACTCCAAGTTTCAAGTATTTTTTAATAAGGTTTATTGTGAAGCTTTTTTGTTGGTCCACAATAAAAAATAAATTTATTAATTATTTATTCTTAATAAATAATCAAAACTTTACATAATACTTTATTGATAATGTATTTTTGGAATATACTTTAGTTTGTAGATAATGCTATTTCTATCATGTGAATTCAAAGTTAAAAAAATTCTCTTCATCTTTTTAGATTAGCAAGAGCACTATGTAGATAATTATCTTGCATTTTCACAATGTTTAACAAATTCCTTTTTTTTAAATTGCTTTCAAATGATATCAGTGAATAACTAATGACTGGTTTTGTAAAAGTGTTTGGCTGAAAAAACATTATTGGAAATATTGTAGCTCACCTGTTTAAATGGAGCATTTGATTTGTTGATTTTTGCTACAGCACCAGGCATTATTCTGTTTATTAGTCTATATGTAATATGGAACAAAGAGATAAGAAGTTATACTTTTTATATACAAAAATAAACACTTAAAAATCAAAAGAATTGTTTAGTTTTTAGCTGCAATACAGTTTTTTTTACATCTCAAATTTTTGAATTCAATATACCTGAAGAAACTAAATACACAACAAAATAGTCAGTTCTGGTTTAAACATTCTTCACAGCTGTATTTAAAATTGGTTGCAATGCCTTAAAAATTGGATGTTTGGCACAGTTAAATTTTATTTGCCTACAAAATCTGTACATACATAAAAAAAACTTACTATTAATTCTTTAATATATTCAATCAGAAATTGTGCATCAAGCCATTTGAATTTTAAGCATATGGTATGTAGTTTGTGCTTGAACTTGTGTAAATTTCAGTAGGTATCACTAGCTGCTGGGAAAAAAAGCTGCTTCAGTGTATACAGAAGCCATATAATTAATCATGCTTTCCAAAGGAGATCAGTAAGTGAGATAAGTAGCAGTAAAACCTTTCACACCAACTGCTGATAAGATAACCATCTGGAAACTATGCTGGAACAGCCCAAGTCTTTCAGCTGGCATCAACCTGTTTTATTTAACCTAAAAATCAACTCAATACAGACTAACATATTAAATCAATCCTAATACTCTAATAATATATACCTAAATGCACACTTTAGCAGTTTACAGCTAAAATGGGACCAACAAACAACTCTTTTAAAGAAAACACTAATTAAAAGTAAATTTTCATAACTTAAAGAACAGTCCTCACTGAAAGCAGATATACATTAGTCACAACAAACTACCTATTATTTATATACCTTTTGTCTCTAATATAATAGATTAAATACAATATCTTACCAGGCTGATAGTACATACACACATATATTGGATAAGTTCATGTGAATGTGGCCTATATATATATATTAGTTTAAAAAAAGGAAAAAGGAGTGTAACATCTATCCAGGTCGTGTGCAAGCACCATCCCCGACTTATACTGAAACATTTGGGAAACTGATAATTTTGAGGCTCAAATGATGATCAACATCTCTGTTAATTTATTACAAAAATAAAAGTTGGATTTAATAATTATTTTATTCAAGTTTAAATAATTTTCTTTATATATTTAGGTCTATCAAACATTAGCTGTATATTCATATACAAGCATATAAACACAAAATAACTCAACAACAAAATTCTTAAACTTCCAAAATTAAAATATAATTTCAAAGGAAAAAAAAATGCCGAAAATACCAAACTTACTTATATTTATAAAAATTGTACACCTTTAGCATATACTATTAAACTTGAAGTGCAGGACATGATTTTACTTACACAAAATGACATTAATTACATATAATAACTATCTCATCCCACCAAATTAAAAGACTATTTGTACGTAAAGGCCAAAAGTTCATAGTTTTCTGGATAAATCAAAAACTACCTAAACAATTAAATACAATCAGTATACACTGAAAGATGCTGAAACCAGTACACACTAAAAGATACAAACACTGAGCAATTAAATAACCAGCACACACTGAAAATATTAACAGTGAACAATTAAATACAACCTGTACATGTTGAAAGACATTAAAAGTGCACAATTAAATACAATCATTTCACACTGACAGATGCTAAATGTGAGTCATTAAATACAACCAAAATGTATTAAAACATGTAAACAGTAAGCAATTAAATATAACCAGTACATGTTGAAGGGTATTAAAAGCTAGTGGGTAACAATAAAAAAATACATTTACTTCAAATGTGTATATGTGTGTGTACATCTATAAATCACATATAGCTATCTACATTAATCAAAAACTGGATATTCATTCAGAATGACTGAGATAGACTGATGATCCCTGCATGAAGACTGTATTATAGCAATTATCCTTGTCATTCACATTTCATCCAAGCTGACTTTTAATCAAAATTGAGAGTGTTAACTTTAACTAGACCAGTCAGTCATAATTTAGGAACATATCAAATAACAAAAGCCAATTTACAAGTGCCAAAATCTCTCGTTCCTTCAGTTTCTTTTTTGTACTGATAGTAAAAAAGAATAAAGTATAACAGGATACAGTGATTAAACATGTTCAATGTCTGATATGAAATATAGTGGAAAAGAACATCAATAATATCAGTTTTCATATTCCCATGCAAGAGCTGTTTTATACATAAATTATTGCTAATTGCATTTCTGTTTTTAGCAGAAGAAGAGTTAGGTGGACTCAATTTCATACTGAAGGATGATAAAAAATGTCAATTATGAACTAGCACACACTGAAGGGTGCTAAAAGTTAGCTTTTATGTGTTTTGATTCTGATAAAAAGTTCAATATATATCTGACTACATCGGTACCACCCCTTATATCAATGTTTCCTAACCTTTATGATTTAAGTACTCCTAAACTGACTCTTATTCATTGAAATATCCTAGCTTTTAATATCTAGCACTGAAATTGTCATGTGTCTGTTCACTCACACCCTTGTTTCCATCTTTACATTTTGTTTTTATTGTGAACAAAGCCATCATCAAATTTAATTTGTAAACAGAAAAGATCATAGTCAAAGTGTTGCAAATGGTTTTCTTACACTCAACTGCACTGATATTATATGCATCTTAAACAATGGCTAAAAAACCAAGTTAAAGGAACCAACCAAAGGCTGGCAGAGTTGCCAGCTTAAATATTTTCTTTCACCAAAACGGTTTTTTTTAATATATATATATATATTTTTTTTTCTTTCATTCTTTAAAAACACTAACTAATAAATCAGATACAGAACAATATTAAAGAAACTTTAAAAAGTTGGAAATAATGTGAGATATACCTGCATAAGGCTATGCCATCTTTTAAAGAATCACAAAAATCCACATGGTCCTGGAATCCTCTTTCTGGGTTGGGAGGATTAAGTTCCAGATCTGTCACCTTTTCTATCCATTCTATTGCTTGAAGAGCTTTATCCATCTGGAACTTGGCCTTGCACTTTAAATGATTATGCAAAAAGAAATCAGTTGAACTGAATATACAAGTGTTTACATTACACAGATGAACTGCACCATTTTTTGCTACATTTAAATGTACATCGTCAATTACGTAACATCTATCTTGGTAAACAACTGAACTCCAATAAAACAAATGAAAATTTTAAACTAAGCAACTCACTTTTTTAAAATTTAATCTGCCCAGAAGATGACAGTCACTTTAAAACACTATAGTCATTCAGAACTTAAAATGTAGAGGGACTGATGAATAAATCACATCAACTCTACAGTTCATGTAATCGTTAGCATTACTCACATTTGAGATACTTATCATTCACTCATGTTGTTTGTTATACAAGAATGTATTTGTAAGTTCTTTTATATGGTATACACATATGTACATATTTATAATCTTGTTTAAGATTTTAGCTTACAGCAGACTGAATACTAAAGTTCCAAATATGTTACTGAAATTATCCATAACTAGTCATAAATCTTGTTTTCCTCAATTGTAAAATTCTTCCTATACCATCTTACTATAAGACAATTTGATACTTTTAATATCTAGTAAACATTCACAAGGGCATTTTGCCATTCCTAATTTAGAAGTGAAAGAATAGAGAAAAGGCAACTAGTCATCACCACCCACCACTAACTCTTGGGCTTCTTTTTTACAAAAGAATAGTGGGACTGACCATCACTTTATAATACCCTCATGGCTGAAAGGGCAAGAATGTTTGGTGGGACAGGGATTTGAACGCGCAACCAGCAAATTGCGAGTTGAGCTCCCTAACCAACTGGCCATGCTGGGTTCTTGATGACAAATAACAAAGATTAATATATCATGCTTAATTTACTCAATTAAAGCACAAAAACAATAAATGTGAAAGAGACTATATGGCAAGTATAGTTCAACCATCCATCCAGCAAAAAATAAATAGCCCAAAACTTTCTAACAGGATATGTTTCTCACTCAACTTATTGCTCATATCATCAACATTCTGATCAAGAGGCTTGTAGAAAATACCAAAAGGTTATTTAAAGCCTTTTTCTTCTATGAACTTCATCTCAAAATAAGATGATTTCATTTCCATGGTCTCAATACAAAACTTTAAAATCATTTAAACATCTTCATTTAATCAAGCCTTGGTAACACCATCAATGATATCTAACATTCTTAAAATGATCAGTCAATTAATCAAGTGCCATCATCACTTGTGAAACAAGATGGCCTCTTGGACAACACTTCTCTGTCCTTGTTGAACAGAGTTGTTTAAACATTTGTTTAAAGTTTAAAGCTTGGAATGGTCTATTTTTTCATTGGGGGTGTGTCTGTGGGCCAGACTAGTTTGGAGAATTCCACTCCTCATCAGTGACCCTGGACTCGACCAGGGAATGAAACTTCAGACCAAATCAAGCCTTTATAGTAGTGAGGTATCGAAAACTGAAATGATGTTTTTAAGTGTTTTACACTTAAAAACACCATTTCAGCTTCTCTGTCCTTGTTTCAGTCACTGTTAATTGCTTAATGTTGTTGCTCCAGTAAAGCAAAAACCAGCTGCTCCAATATCACCCTGTTTGTACAGGAAAATTTACATAATCATCTATAATACCTCATCTCATTGGCCTCAAGTTGCTTGATACCTGTTGCTTTCAGAGTTTATGATATGGTTCAGACCCATAAAATATAATGTTTTTTAGGAATCTGAGTTGCATGGTTTTCTTGATCCTTCCACTTCTCCAAATAACATACATTCTCTGAAAATCTGCCTGAGCTATTTCAATCAATCTCCTGATCTCAGCATTACTATTGTTCCCAGATACACGTAGAATTATATCTGATCAAATTCCTCTCCTTCAACTATGATCTTTATTTGCTGCTGCACTCTACCCACCACCAAGACTTTCATTTTTATGGTATTCAAGAAGAGCTCATAGTGCTTACTTATATGCCTGACCCTGTCCACCAATTCCTGCAGTTCATATTCTGATACAATAATTAGTAGTGTATCACCTACATACCTCAGCACATTTATAGTTCTTCCTGCAAATCTAGAAACACTTCAAACCTGATATTAACCTGTCTCATGTCTTTCCCAATGCTGAACCATTCTAAGAGCTCATTCTTACTGTTGCTTCATGGTTATTACATAAGTTTTTAAGGATACTTATACTATGACTTGAAGATCCTGTGCCATTTAAAATGTTCCATAAGCATTGGTAGTCTGCTGAGCAAAAAATCATACTGTAGTCAATACAACAAATCAACAGAGATTGTTGATATTCTTGACTCTTTTCCATGAGTAATCTAAGGTTAAAAATCTGGTCTCTGGTTTCCTGACCTCCTTGAAAACAAGGTTCCTTGCTCCAAGTGGCTCACCAGTAAGTTGGGGGCTTACAACACAAAAAACTGAATTTTAATACCAGTGGTGGGCTGAGTAGATAACCCACTATGTAGATTTGTGCTTAAAAGCAAACAAAACAAGTCTCCTCTATGGCAATCTCTTGTTTACATTGGTTTTTTCATTCTTTCAAGAAAAATTCTGCTACACTTGGAGTATTATGTAAAGTCTTGCATGCCTTAACATTGAATTGTTGAAAAGGGTTCAGAGAAGGGCCACTAGGATGATTCCTTGGATGCAAAAGTTGTCATACCAGGACAGGTTAAGATTATTTAAATTGTTTTCTCTTGAGTAAAAAGCAGTAAGAGGGGATCTGATTGAGATGTTTAAAGGGAAGAATTGATAAGTATTTGAATGATACTTGCTGTCTTTGATTGTTTGATTTTAAAGTTTAGTTTAGTGGATTGAATGGCCTATATCAGGGCCTTTCAGCAAAATTCTGGCACTAGGGCTACCTTTACACATGTGATCTAAGGGCAACCCCTTCCATGTACTTTCATCTATACCACATACTTTAAATTATCAACTATATACAGATGTGATATTTACAACATACTGCTTGACAGCATGTGTAGAGGTAATGATAAAATCACAGATAACTTATTTTTAAACATGGAGTACAGATAACATATACAAACACAATTAAAAAGGGTAAGTGCTACTGAAACTGTTTCTCTTCTTCAAAAATGACCTTAAATGTGAGTCAGACAAAAAAAGGAAAATGAGGTTAGATATAAAGTACCTGGAATACAAATATTTGAAAAAAAAACCTTCTTGTGTGAGAGAAGCATTGAAATTGTATAATAATAATGAAAAAAAAAAGAGTTTTAGAAAGCCATCAGCTGAGTGTCAGTAAACAAATGATACTTATTTACAGAGATTTTCAAGTAAACTCCCAAACTACTAACTTGTTTTTATATCTTTCACTATCAGTGGGGTCAACATATACAGCAATATTCAGTATAAAGAACCAGCCAAAAAATGGGTAAAATCACTTATTTTCTACGTAAAACACACAGGGAATCCAAAAAGCAATCAGATGGATTACATGCAATATTGATAGCATTGTTTTTAAATTTTTTTTGTGACTTTTGTTATTAGTGACTCTGTAACTAACAAAAATCATGGGCCTAGAAACAGTTTGGTACATAGTTTAAAACAATTGTATTTAAAAATCAACTTGGGCCCACATAGACTCCATTGGTAATTCTAAAGTTGGGAGATTGAATGTTATTATATTTTTATTAACTGATTATGGCAATGTCTTGTACAAAATAATGAATGTAGTTTTAATCCACTTACTAAAGTAAGGAATGCAAATGGGCTATTAGAATAATTTGGTTTCTCTGGAATACTGAAGAATCAAAGGTGAGTTGATTCCAGTTTTCAAAATTGTTAAGGTTTGGATAATCTGCCTTGGTTGGTATATCGAAAATGCAAGCTTGAAAATTGGGAGAAATGATTCATGCTATCAAAACATGTTTTTCAGAAAAATTATTTCACTGTTCATTAAAAATTTGTTTACTGGTTTTGATGACAATATCATGAGTTCTGTTATTTTAATTTCTTTTAAACTCTTGTTAAATAGGTGAAAGAATATGAAGGACTACATTTCATTTGTTTTTCATACTTTTATTAGTAAAGAGACGACTTGGGTTTTTCTTAAGGCAGGAGGCTGAGTTAAAAGGTTTCACTACTCTTTCAAAATATATATATGAAAAAACTGTAAAACTTTTTAAATGGTAAAATAAATAAAAGGTTAATGATGAAGCTAAATTAAAAGATATGTATATATAGTTTAATAGTTCAAACTTGAAAGATCCTAACTTATAACATTTATACAAAATTACAAATTAATGAATACAAATTTGGATGTTATACACCCATTTCTGCTTATATGTTGGAAGAAAAAAAGGATTCATTTCTGATACTCAAACATAAGGTAGTTGTGAACCCCCCCCCCCAAAAAAAAAACAACAAACAAACAACGTACTTATTGTATGAAATATTTTATGATGTGTACATTTTCTTTTCTAAGTTACTGCATTTCAGTAACAAATCAAATTTTTATAAAATTGGTATTAAACATTCAAAAAGATCCTCACATGAATCCTGTTTTTAATGAAAAATACCATCTTTTTAGAATCTTGCAAGAACAAGATTGCTTTTTCACAAACAATTATTTCTTTGAAATATAAGTTTGATTATGTTTTAAATTACATTCAAAGTGGTAATTTTAATAATGTATGTAGGTTCTTAAAGTTTAACTTATGCAATATACTGCTACCAAGTGTTCTCAAAAATGAGTTTATTTATTCTTACTATTAGACAACACCCTGTTTTCACAAGAGCAAAGGACAAGACTCTTACAGACCAGTGTCTGTTCAAGGTTGGCTTGCTGAAAACCCTATCAGTTGTATGTCCTGTTACTAACCCTGCTACATGTACACAGATTACAAAGAAACCAAGACTTCCTGTAACCTAAGAGGAATCTAATGTGAAAAGATGTTATTATAACAACTTTACTTTCACATTTGGTTAACTAATAAATTAAGCTGTTTAGCATACTTTCAAGTTCTATAGAAATTAGAAGATGACAATATAAGATTCATGTTAGTAACCCTTTTCTATATCATGCATCACATACTTAGAAATGGACCAAATCCATATATCACATTACAATTCCAATGCAGTGGTACAAAACGTCCTTTTTTTTTCACATGAAATCAAATACACTTTCACACGTGTGTAGATTTCAGTTTGCAGTAAAGAACGTTATTTTACTGCAGAAAAACTTTACGTATACAGTATAGGATATATTCCCATTTTAAACAAGTTTCTCAAATTACATGCTTTATAAAGTTTTATTAACAATATTTTATCTTCTAAACATCATTCATAAGCATTTAAAGTTTTGTACTTTTTTAAATTTACCCATACAATATACTAGAGTAGAAGTAGAAATAGAAGACAATATTATTACTATATTAGTATTACTAGCACCATACCCTGCCGAGTTTGATCATTTGATTTAGTAATAGTACTAGTAGCAGCATCTATACTACTACTACTAGTTGAAATAACATTTTGAATTAGCAGATGAACGGCAACGAATAATCTGGTGAATTGCAAACTCGGAACGAAAACTGCAAAACATTTACTTGTGTAAGATTAGGTATTGCTAAGTAACAATAACATTCACTTCTTCTATCCCTCCGAGAAGTATATAATTCAATGTATATTATGTATTATAATATAAATATTAATCAAGCAAAGCATAATTTTTATAAGCTTCAATTTTGTTTGTTCATGGAACCATATCTAGACAACTTGACCCAATTGCTATAACAGTGACACAGTACGTAACGCCACTAACGGTAAAGTTAACCGCCAACTTTGTACTTTTAAAAATGAACAGCTTACAAGTAAAATATGCAAACATACCTTTAACATACACTCTCGAGAGAGACCGTAAGTAGGCCCCTGAAACGCCATAAGAACCTTTAATTATCAATTAAAACGTTAACAGAGACAAATTAGCAAAACTAACTGTTCACACACGAAATAACATGAGTACAAAATTCACATAGCGCTCGCAGATAGAAACTAACACATGACGTCATTAAAAATTAACCAATTAGATTATAGCGAATAAGTACACTACCGCACAAACGGAGAGCAACAGGTTTCAATTTTGCAACTTTTAAAAATTTTCAATGCTGACAGAAGAATGGAAATAATTGTGAGGATGCTGCTATTTTGCAAAAGGATTTACATTAATTGATGACTTGGACGAATAAATGGCAGACAGCTTTTATTTATAACAGATGCTTCCCAGTGGCTCAGCGGCAAGTCTGCATGCTTAGTACGCTAAAATTCGAGTTTCGATAGATACCTACCTCATTGTGTAGCTTTGGGCTTAACGACAACCAAACCAAATTTATAATAAATGCAAAGCAGTGCATGTGAGTTATCATAATTTGAATTGTAATTATAATTTTCATGGGATAACCTTAACAGTGTTATGGAGGAAAAAAAGGATCTTAGTGTTCTAGTTGATCAGTCTCCCAAGCCATCCAAACACTGTGCTGTTGCTAATGGCAAGGCAAATAAGGTTTTAATTTGTATCTACAAAAGTATTGAATAAAGTCTAAAGAAACTATAATTTCATTTGTTACGCCACTGATTAGGCCACATTTGGAGTATTGTGTTCAGTCTTTTGGTTCCTTACTTAAGGAGGGGCATTAAATTGTTGGAAAGGATTTAAAGGATGGTACCTGGGATGGAAATATTGTCATAGGACTACAGGATAAGATCCTCGAGTTAAAGGGGATCTGATTGAGGGAACTGACAGCATTGATGCATTTTTTTTTTTTTTTTACTTTAACGGAATGAATGTTAAGATACAAATACAAATGTTGACAGGGTAGAAGTCATCTTCAGCTAATAGGGTGTTTGGCCTTTGGTATTGGTTGTCTTGAGATGTGGTGGATGCAGTAAATTTAAGGAATGTTTTACGAATTTTTGACAGAAAAAGGTTATCTTTGGGTTTTTATTAGTTTTTTTTAGTTCAGTTCAGATTAGTTTAGTAGACAGAACGGCCTAGATGGATAAATATTGTTGCGTCATCGAGATCACGTGACAATTCTCACGCTCTCTTGTTTCTAGAACTATCCCGTATCTTGGCGAATGGTCTAGTAATTGCTCGATGTAGGGTGGGCTGGTATATATAAAGGAGGGGAATGTGAGGTGGGTGGATAGATAGTGAGTAATTGAACTGCAGTCACACGGTATTGTTGAAGATAACGTTCGTTCGTTACAGTGTTGTTTTAGCGCGAGTATTGAGATTAAGTGTATCGCAGAGTTATATTCAGAAAGAATAAACCAGTTTTGTTAGGTAAAGACTTGTGTCGTTAAAGTTTCGTCGGAACGAAGTTACGGAAAATTGGCTGTAATGTAGGGCTCCTGTAGTTGTCTGAGTACTAGATCGTTGTCAAAGGCTTGCTAAGAGCGTGGCTGTAATGTAGGGCTCCTTT